GTTAAATGTGATTTTCAAATATTTTCAAACAATGTTTTCAAATATGGTTCTCTTTGGTCTAAGCTAAATTCAAGTCACTCAATGGTGGTAAGGAACTTTGACAATAATCTACCGATTTTACTGAAAAAATTCTCAAGGTGTGACTTGACTACCCAATTTGGGACTGCAGTTCAATACACATAAATGTGGAGTGGACTGTTCACAGAATTATTGCCATTAATGGCATTAATAGGTAGCAGAAGTACATTAGTTACGAATTAAAGGGGCACATCTTTATTAAAAGACAACAGAGGAGAATACTTTGCAGGTTTCATTTTTTAACTTATTTATTCAAGTTTCTTTTTGCATGAAAATTTCTATTGTAAGAGTTAAGTGAAGGTCTGACAGAGAATCTGGAAATATCCAATTTTATGATGGTTTTTTTTCCAGTTCTTCAATCCCTTTATATATTTGGAAGAATTTCCACATAAAAGAAGTTTCCCTTTTCTTCAGCGGGACTATTAATGTGTGCAAACTTTAACTGGGTCCAAGTATAAGCTCTGTGTGCTGACAGGATGTTAGGAAATCAAGTCTAATGAGTGGTCAGCTCAGAGAAGTGACTCTAGAAATCAGAGAAAGCATACTGATATATAGAAAGCAGTGCTAAGCAGTGTAGGGTTTCCATCTCTAAGGAACGTAATATAAGCAATGAAATGGAGAAGTGGTTTTGTGAATTTGCAGACAATCTAAAAATATTTTTAGTGGAGAGGAATACCCATGTAATATATTTGAGCTTGCAGATAATAAAACAGCTTTTTCAGGGACCACTGACAGGAAGCCCAAGGATCCCCAAGGGTTCACAGGCTATAAGCAAGAAATCACTGAAATGAATAATATCAAATTATCTACCCTATTCTAGCTTTGTTTCTGAAGTTTGCCGTATTGTCTTGAATCTGCCTTATTAATTATCTGGACTTATATTACTCTACTGCTTACATATCTAGAAATACCAAAAAAACCCTGGAGAAGTAATTTTATTGAATTCCATTATATCTCTTCTAAGAAAAATTGTATTTCGTGAAGGAAAAGAAAGGAATAAAACAATCATTCCATTCATGTACAATGTGGCAGTAATTTATAACTAATTTATCAATGACCACACAGCTGCACTCACTGCTGTTTTTTTAAAAAAAAAAAAAAAAAAAAGCCCATATAATGCTTACATAGTCTCTGAAAGCACAGCATCTTAATAAAGGAAGAGGAAGCCACCGGAGTAATTAGAAAGGTATATTGTAGTGCATATAATGGCAGAAGGATGTTTGTATTATAGTCCAACACATCATTAAGGATACAATTGTTATTTAATGTGGCACAATCATCTTTCTACTCTTCATGAAATCCACTTAAGTAATTACTTTTCTTAGCTCATTGGCTCTATGAACTGACAGTTTAGCAAAGTGCTACTTCTAAAGAAATGCTCCATTTTTATAATACTCTACCTCTTTTTAAGGTTAACTTTTACTGCTTACCTGGAATGGCCATTTTCTCATTTGGAAAACTGGTGAGGAGTGTGGGGAGTAGAAGGGAAAAATGGATTGGGGGGAGAGAGGGGAAAAACGTGCTAAAAGCTTAGAGAGCTGTCTTAAAAAAATGAAAATATTAAGTACGAAGTCCTGCTTCCTTTTTGTCTACAGTGTATCCCTTTTCCCCAGTCTTGTTTTTTGGACATATGTATCTCTATATAAATATATAAGCAGAACCCAAATTAACTGATCCGTTTGTATGATGTTTAGTCATTTTTGTATCTGCTAACAGCAGAACAACTAGCTCAGCAGTGCAGCACCTTGAGTTGCTTCTAATATCTTTTTTTGGATAATAGTTTTACAAAGCACAGTTTTCAAGATTTGGGAGAGTACCGTCTTATGAAAGTTAGTAGGGAACATTAAATAACCTACTATTTTATTTTCTAGTCTTTTTGCACTTATGACCGCAATAATATATGGGAGCAGACAAACATCATCTTTATACTCAAAGCTCATTCGTTTTTTTTTCCTGTCATGCATATTTTAGTATAAAGTTCAAGACCATTCTGCAGAGCAAGCCCAGTATTCAGCAGACACAGCACTGAACTGCAGCATTTAAATTGCCCAACAGCATGCTTTTTTTTTTCTTTTAAACTTTAAGCTCTCTTTCAAAAGATGTTGTAGTCTTCGTGTTTACTAGCATTACAACAAGGTAAGTCTGAAATACCTTTATCTTATTTGGTAGATCTATGTTTGATGCTCTTTGTTTGAATAGAAGTGTCAGCTGTATTTTACTTTATTATATAAAAAAGTTTCAGAATTTAATTAAGGGTCAAGTACCCGCAGTAGATAAATGCAACAGCTAAAGCATATTTCTGATCTCTCTGAAGACTGCAATCATGAAAATTATTATCATTGAGTAAAACTGGTCTCAATGATGGTGACTGGGAGATGGAATCTGTGTTAGTCAGCCATAATTTACATAATAATGGGTTCCGAGTTTTCATCAGCACCTTTTGTTTGTACAGTGCTTACTGCTACAGTAAATTGTCAAAATGTCATTCCTATCCAATCAGCCAGAAAATATCAACAGTAAACAAGGCACAAGACGAAATTCTCTGATTAAAAGTATGGTGGAGGAAACAGTAAAACGGGACACTATTATAGTCGTAGCAGTCTTATTCTGATATTTTCAACAACACTGCTGAACAACTTATGAAATTTATTATTGTTTTTTAATGAAGCAATGCCACAGAGGGGGTGATGTCATTAAAAGAATCTCAGCAAACAGTTGGATAACTAGTTTGTTTACACTTGTATTTGTCAATACCTGCTTGTTTCCTCTTCCATGTGGCAATCTGATATTTCACTTCTCCAAGCAAAACAGACTCAACTAAAAAGTTACTTTCACTACAGGCTGGGTAGCCACAGACCTACAAGAACAGTGTCCAAAAGCAACTTAAGGATAACGCTGAGTCCTAAATAAAAATGCTGGCCCAAATAAATCTCTCTTCTCTCTCTAACAAACACACAAAGCCTGATAGTATTTAAGTTGAAATGCAGTTTTCTGCCACCCTCTAAAATTCACAGAAGTGCAAAGAGAGGAGGAGCATGAATTAGTCCCAGTCTAGGCTTTATAGCCATCGTACTTATATACTATATTAAAATTAAAAATTTCACATTGTGTTTGAAATAAAAATGAATAAAGTGGCATCCTGCCAAAGAGAACCAGAAGCCACCCTTGTGTGGAACTGAAACATTTGGCTCATATAGTACTTAATTTATTTTCGTGAAATGACAAGTTATATACATGTATCTTTAAAACAGAGAGGCAAAAACTTAAAAAAAGTTTCTTTGTATCGTGGTTCATAAAGCTTGACACAGTCATAGCCTATATATAAACAGAACAAAAAACAATAAACGTTCCTCAAGGAGGGCTTCCAGCACTGTGCCCTTAAAAATCTTCAAAAAGGACGTGATCACGTAGTTGAGTCACCACAGAAAAGACTCACAGTACCTTCCTTTGGAAATGAATAGGAGTTTTAAAATCTATTGAAATGAAGTGTTGACATAAGGAAATATTTTGTAGAGCTTTCGGGTTTCTTTACCATTCACTTTATTTTACTTGGCTACTTTTAATTTTTTTCCACTTCTTCTCTTTGAAAATCCTGCATTGTCCAAGCCCTTTCGATTAAGCAGCTTGCCTGAATGAAAGCACTGTGATGATGTGGCGGTGCATCAATAAACAGGGTGCCTCTCAAAGCAGGACAGAATGCTGAGAAATAGGGCTGATCAGTGGTAATTACTCTGACACTTCATGCAGTACAGAGAATTAACTCCTAGGACTTTGGGCCGAATGGAGAAGTAGTAGTTGATGTTCCACATTGTGAATGCCTCAGTGCCTGAACCCATTATGAGTTTAAACGGAGATGGGAATTCACTATATACAGGGCTTTTTTCTTTCTTATTTTTTTTAATCCCAGTTAGGAATGTGAAGCAGGGTGCAGAAAATAGAAATAATTCAGGATGTTGAGCAGGCTGCATTTCTATTTTTTGCTAAGGTCTTTACACTTATTTTCCATTAAAACACAAATAACTGAATAAAGGAATGCCCACAGCAACCATATTTATGGGAATGCACCCATCATGTTGAGGAAGACACCCATATGCCAAGTTAAGGGAGCAGAATTTCTCAAAGGCAGACCTGCAGAAACTAAGGTACATAAGAACACATAGCAGGAGGGGAAATACAGCTAAAAAGGCAACTAGTTAGCAGCTGCCACTATGACCTTTAACTGCATCCATGGTAACTGGGCTAAAGATGGAGTTCCATTTTATTATTCTCACACCCACAATGTTAAGCCTATGAATCCCATTGCAATTTAATGGCTGAAATCAGAAGGCAGATCTGTGTTCATTGGACCAGTGCCGACATCCTCTTAGCTAATGAGTGCAATAAACATTTTCATGCCAGGAAACCAATGCAAGTGGAAATATTATGCCATGCAGAAATCTATCCCCCAAACACAAAGAAATGGTCAGTAAAGTCAGTCCTTTATGATCATTTGCATATACTGTAATTTTTCAGGTTTTAGGCCACACATCTTTGAAGCAGGAAGGTATTTAACTCATATATTCTTTAATACTGTGGCATGCAACAGCATTCACTTTATTTTAAGAATGGTGGGAAAAATTATGTATTCCAGAGTTAATGATTATAGCCATCTCCAATTATTTTCCTAAAGGAATCTTATGTTTTTAAATAGTATTTTTTCTTTCATGCATCTAAAACCTATTTCATCCATTTGCAGGCTATGTGCAGTACCACCAGCTGAGCAAAAGATACTAAAACAGCAAACTGTTTTAACAAGATGGAGGGCTTTGTTCTAACTTTTGTTGCTATTGTAATTTGACTCATACAGTTTATCTTAAGAATCAGTGACAACAATGTCATATGTTTGTCATGTGAGCTGAAAGCAAGGCATACATCATCCTTACTTGGGCTGAAGAACCAGAGCAGCAACAACAGTGGTTAAAAGGATCTGTGCTGGATGTGTCTCTGTATTCTCAAGTATTTCCACCTCTAAAGTTCTGTGGTAACCTGTAAAATCAACAATGAGAAGTATGGAGTGGAGCTAACAATTGAGTTGCAAGCCTTTACCTAGAAAAAACAGTACAGCTGAGGAGTAGCCATAATTATTTTAAAAATTGCAAATACAGTGATTTAGTCACATTGAGCCATTCAGTCATTTATCTGTCTTACCCCCCAGCCTTCCTTAAAGAAGGACCGTCAATCTAATAACACAACAGACCAGGGTGAAGAAGAAAACTCTGAATGCATAAATGTGCAGCTGGGAAATGAAGGTCACCAAAATCTCCTTGAACTCTTGGGTAAACCCACTGTATTTGCTTCAACGTGGTGCAGTCGAAGACATAAAACTACATTAGTACATTCATAAAAAGCATTATGTGAAATATCCCTGCCTCTCACAGTCAACTTCCGCCTCCATCTTAAAATATCCAGAATTTTATTTTTGTTAAAATGTTAGCCTGGCATAAGGAGAGAGGGCTTAATGACTTCCCCTGACAAGAACTACATGCATTTTTTTTTTCTTATGGAATACTGCCAAATATCCTTTGTAATAAAAAGCTTGAACTATTTTGCTAACAGAAGCCGCTTGTTCTGGTAACTGTAAAGGTCAGACAGAAAATAATTTTGGTGTTTCTTATCTTTTAAAATAATGTCACTTTTTATCATTACGGTAACATTTTTGGACAACAAAGAAAAGAGAAAACAAAAGATGTGATACCCCAGACCACCAGGTACACTATTTCTTAAAAGACATTAGGATAAAAAAGCTGTTAGCCAATTATGCCAAAGACTGGAAATGTCACAAAAGCCAATGAAATCTCCCTGGTAACATTCAGAAATAATATGCTTTGGATCATACTGTATATTAAATGACAACTGTCAATTTAAAAAAGAAGTCCTCCAAAATCTTTGATGTATGACAATTTAGAAGTTGAAACACACTGTTCTTACCATTTAATATCTTTGAGATAAAAAGCTTTTGACATGTTAACTAATGTGAAGGAATAAGTGCTCCTCTCATTTCCCTAACACAGTACTGGACTGCACTGAGCAGTTTTTCGTGATAAATGTCATAAGCAAGGTGGTATATAACTGTTTTATTTAGTTAAGAAGTGTATGCATTTATGGCTATTCCATTACATAACAATAGAAGAAGGTGAGATTTTGTATCCTAAATATTGTCCTTTGATACATGCATTCTTTCTTTCTGTTAAAATGGGCATTTGAATAGGCACTGATTGTCAATATTATCTAATCCACTTTTCTGTCTGGGGCCGTAGTACAGTGTGATTCAGTGGAAGCTGTCAGTCTCTGAATGCGCAGCCATTCCAGGATAAAAGATCTGTTGAACTACATGTTGGTTCTTTAGTTCTCTTTTTCTTGTTTGTTTTCTTTCTTTTTTTTTTCTCTTTTTTTTTTTCTTATCACTGTGTGGAGAAAATTCACAATCTCTAGCTTCAGGCATGTCCTGGATGGGTCCCGGGTAGCTGAGGAAATCTCCACCAGACCGTGCCTGGGTGGGAATGCCAGGCTCCTCACTTCCCCTGGGCTCCCAGATTCATCAGCTACGGAGGATGCTTGCTCCTACTCTATGATTGCATCTCAACAGTTAAGTCAGTGGCTCAAATATCTAAATAAATGGTAAGCTTCTGGGTATTTTTGCTGGGCTTATTGAGATGTGAACGTGAATGTTAATTGTTAGGTACAGGGTGGATGGGGTTTTGTGGCCTTGAAAACCTCCAGTTGAAGTTTTATGCTTCTCAGTTGTTGGCAGAATATGTTTGAAGGTGATTCAAAGACAAATATGCCCCAAAAAAGGAAAAGTCTTAAGCAGTGTAGACCTTACCAACTAGTGCCATTGGAGCCTGGGGAAGAGATTAGCTCCTGAACCTCTTCTAATTAATGGTATAGAGACAGGCTAGGAACACTGCTGTATATTGCCTCATATCAGCTGCAGACTTTTTTCAGATATTTCACTAAAGAGCAGACCAGAACTTAACCATACCAAGACTGGGAAGCTTTATTAACTTATTCAGTAAATCTTTATAATAGTGCTGTGTTCACTGGAATAAAATGAAATAGCAGATGACAGGATGGTGCCACACTTGTGAAGAAGGCAATAAACATGATCTTCTGGGAAATCTTTCTGACCCAAAAAGCAAAAGCAGAAGAAAGAAAACACTGTTGTTGAAACCTTGGTTGCACAATACATTTGAAGATGCAGATTTCGCTGTTGTGGAACCCTGTGACATTAAGACCTCTTTCTGTTATTGCAAGGAGTCAAACAGAGCGGGCTCCAGCTCATGGGTGGGATAGGCACTGTATTTGGTTGAAGAGTAGATGGAGCATCCAAAATGACATTACTAATGAAAAACTGTGTTGACAAATATGACACAGACTTAAGCTACATATATCCCAGTAAGACCTATAAAGTGCAGAAAACTAATATAAGCAACTGGAGGATACATGCAAAAATGTATGCCAAACAGAGCTATAAACAGGACAGCATTTTTAACTTTTACACAAACAAAATAATCCACATATACTGCAGAACTGCTGTAGGAGGTAACCCGACAATGTTACTTGTCAGATCCCTTCCCTTGCTGTTACACAGAACAATGCAAAGCTGGTACAGGTTGTTTCTCCTCTGATTCCACAAGAATGGTACCAGAAGAATGACTGCAAGTTTTTTTTTTATTAACAGTCCAGAAGTTAGCATGAAATTACTCCTGGAAGCATTTATGGATAAGTCGGCAGAAACAACAAAGAGAACACTGTGGAGAAGGAAAAGATTGCTTAGTAAACTAGGTTAGTAGAAATTGGGTGCTTTAATACAGCCCAATCCTAAATTGCCTTTCTAGAATCGAGGATGAAAGCCACAGAACTGAATAACTGCAAGCAGTGACTTAAAAATATGGAGGATTCATACTGGACAAGCAACTAAACAGTAGTTCAGAATGAGATGATAGAGCAAAAAACCCAACAAGATTCCTGAACAGTCAGTGAGGGAGCAGGAGAGCTGATCTTTCTGTTACAACTTGGTGAGACCGATGCTAGAGTATTGCGTCAACTCTGCAGTCCACATTTTCAGAAAGACACATTGGAGCTACTGGAGAGGGTAGAGAGGAAATGCAGAAATGTTTTGAAAATGGGAGAAAATGCCTTCTGGTGAGAGATTTAAAGAGTAGGATCTTTCTGTTTATGAGGAAGAAGATTGAGAGGTGACTTGCTTATGGCATATATACCTTCTGAGGCAGAAAATAATGGATATGAAAGGACTCTGTAATCTAGTGGAGAAAGGCATAATAAGTACCAAAGGCTGGAGCCTGAAGCCAGATGAATTCAAATTGGAAATAAGGCACACACTTTTAATGCTGATAGCTATTAGCTATCAGAACACATTATAGAGGGAAGTGGTGGATTTTCCATCTCCTGAGATCTTCAAATCAAGATTAGATGCCTCTCAGGAAGATATACTTTAGCTGCAGAGAAACTATTTGGCTCAAGGTAAGGATAACTGTGTGAAAGATAAGTGCCTGTGATCGAGAAGAAAGCAGATTAGATGATCTAAGAGTTCCTTTTTGCTTTTTGCGCTATGAAAATTTGAAAACCTGCAGTATGTAGCTGGGACTTAATCTGAGTCCTCCACCCTAGATTTAGCCCAATCAGATTACTTGTGCATTGAAGTGAAATTCATACCCCATCCCTCACTCTTTTATATCCCTTTGCAGGGTTTAGCTAGAGGGAAGTCAGATTTATTGCTGTTTGCTTTCCTTCAGGTTTCTGCTAAGGCAATGTTCCATGTTGGAAAAATTAATGGAACTGATACACAGATCTGCATCCACTGTTTAGACTTTCATTCACGCTTCATTTCTAGAAGAGATCAAAAGAGACATCGCTGTCTCTGGGACATACCTCTAGGATTGAGGCATAGCAAAATGCAGAAAGGCTGTGTTCACTGTACCACCTACTAACATTATTATTTATATAATATTTGCAGTGTTCATTCCCAAGCCACTGGCAATTACTGGAAAATCCTAACTTTGTATGTGAGCAAAGGTGACAAACAGAACAGTTTTCTAATTTGTGGCATCCACAGATAGGTACAGGGGATGTTGAAAACTTGTTACTGTGTTAAATTACATCATTTGTGAAAGGGTGCTGTGTAGTCCATGTGAGGAAACAACACGGGAATCTCTTTTGCCCGATCCTGGTCTTCTATATCAGACAATTGGTGTCATTTGGTTATGGGACTTGTATTTCAAAAGATCACAGACTAGTGGAAACACTAACAAGAAAAGTAGGCAGTATTGCAGAATTTCACAGTTTTGGTGATATGGCATCCATTTATTTTAGCTACTGGCTTAAAATTACTGATTTAAAGCCGGATTTTATGTTGATGAGGGGAATAGAAAAAGGATGCACAACTCAAACTAGGTAGGGAAAAAATGAAGGTTAAAAGATTGGTTTAAGAGGGAGAAAGGGGAAAAGAAAAAGTTGTATATTTGGAAACAAATACAATGAACAGGTGAAATTATGGTGCAAAAGGACAAGTTTATGCACAACAGTTCTATGGACTTTTAAGGCATAAGTAATTTTATTTAACTTGAGCTGTCAATGTCTGAAATTGTCACCATAGATTCCCTCTACTGCCAATGGAGAGAAATAGATGCTTTTAAAACATGATTCAGCTGACCTATTTTAGCCATCTACTTCAGGATGAGATGAATCACACCCTAAAAGTGCCTATTTCTCTCCATTGATTATGAAAAGAGTCCAGGGTGACAACCTCAGATGTAGATGTCTCAGTTATAGATTTTTGTATTTGGTCAGATGAATCCCGCTATTAGAGCCTATAGATTCTGACACATCTTCACTTTTTTCCATAATTTCTTATTGAAAAAACAGCTACTATGAAGAAATAGAGAAGATACACATACATTTGTATCAGGTGCAATTTACTGTAGAATGGCTGGAAAATTGACATTATATGTGTCAAATGTTGACATTTTGATGAAAAAAATCAACCCCAAAAATACTTCAGCTGAGAAAGGAAATATTTCTGCATGGAAATACTGACATGTGGCCTCAAGGGAGCCACAGGTCGGGACTTCAGGCTTCCAAACTTTTCTAAACGACAGAGTCTGCCTGGACTACGTGTTCCAGGATTCATCCTGGTTCCTTCCAGTGGTGACCCTGATGGTGCCTCTTGGGATCTCCATGGTGATGACAACTCCCAAAAGTTGACCCCAGCTAAGCAGCCAGAACCAATCAGAGGAGATTGGGAGCATGAATTAGTGGAATTACATCTTCTGCAAGGTGTCAAAGTGGCATACTTTTAACAAATGTATATAGAGTTTTGATAGAATGATAGCAAGATAATGTTTTAAACAAACAAATGATATTTTTTAAAATGAAAGAAGACAGTTTGGAATCAATAACCTGACTTATCAAAATCCAGAATGATTATCCAGTATTCAAGGAAAGATGAATTATGGTTGTACATTTATTCCTTATTTTGCTTATGATCATATTTTACATTTCTCCCCTTCCCTTCCCTTCCCTTCCCTTCCCTTCCCTTCCCTTCCCTTCCCTTCCCTTTTTTCTCTTGCTTCCTCTCTCAATCTTTCATTTTGTCTCTTTCCCTCTTGTTAAGGAACTGTGGATGGTTCTAATAAACTTGATATTCATTTTACCAGTGTGCGGTTAGCAAAAGATACTTCCCAGTATGGAGAAGAGCATAGGAAAACACAAACAAATTAGATCTGCTTGACAGGTTATCAAATCAAACTTGAGTGCAAAGATATGCATAAGTTAAGTTCAGAAATATCTTTGAAGATAAAGCTTATGCATAACATTTCTAGAGATAACATCACGTTCAACTTACAGAGGCTGCATTACTCATGTGCATAAAATAGTAACCTTTGTGAACGGTCTATACAGATTTTGCTATTCAAGAAGACAGGGATTCTGACTCCTAATTCCAGCTGGAGGGAACTGAAAGGGAAGAAAACTAATTTCAGTGTTTCCTTGATACAAAATCTCAGCTTTAAGAAGAAGACTGAAGGCTGAACAGCCTCTGAGGTTTTGAGTTTTCTTCAGAGAGCTCTGCTGATGTTGCATTATTTGTCAATAAAACTAAGGTAAAGAAATATTTAAACTCATCTGCTTACAACATTATATGATACAATGGAAGTAAAACAATAGACTTTAATCATATGCATATTATATACACAAAAAGCTATAATGACATAACCAAGAACTCAAGAAGTAGAACATTTGAAAAAAAATTACCTTTTAAATATGCATAATGCTTTGTGTTTGATTATATATTTACATATTATTTATTTTTACATATGTCACCTGCCATTTTCCCAAACCTTGATGCCCCCTCTCTATAACTTCCAAGCTGCCACAATCTTCTTAGTTAGGTGTCTTCCCTACAGGCAGTCCTTTAACACAGCTCCATTTTCACTCACTGTAATGAAATCCTTTGTCAATCTAGCATAAGATTCACTATTCACAGGAACAGTATCATCTCAGAATTTTTAGTTGGATCCCCAGACTGTCCTGATCTCTGTTCTACCCATGAAGGTCCCCATCCTTTTCTGCACTGGTTTTACTGGAAATGCCCATTGTCTGACTCCCTGTCTCTGAGGGTAAGGGCTTCCTACCTGCTTCCTAAATGTCCATCCCAGCTTCCTTTCCTAGCCTGTTCCTCTTCCCCTTGTGATGTGTCTGCTCCTTGCCCTCTTTATTAAAGTCTAATCTACTTCATTTCATCCCAAGTCTTCCTCTTTCTCACCAGAATTTAGTGTGCAGTCACCCAAACAAACAAGCTCTTTGTAACTCTCAATATAATCTTATTTATCAGATCATAATTCACGCCTTCTAATGCCTCCTATGGCAAAGAGGTCTCAGTGACTTCTTCTCTGGCTTTCAGTTGTCCTAGATATCTCTGTGCTCCTAGAGATTTATTAGGCTACTAGGCAGAATTTTTTATTTCTCCTCCCAGTACCAGTCTTTCTTTCATTTTCTCCACATTAGAATATGGTGGCTCCCTACTCCGTGCCAGCAAGAAAACCTCAGCACAAAAAAGGAGAGCAAGGCTCCCTGCTCTGCAGTGGTGGACTAACTCCCTGCAGGTTAGGGACTGACTGGGGAGCAGATTTGGTGAAAAGGGTCTGGGCAAAAGCAGGCTAAACGTGAGCTAGCAGTGTGCCCTGGCAGTCATGAAAGCTAGCAGCATCTTTGGATATATTAGCAAGACAAAAGGTTGGACCAGATGACCATTTGAGGTCTCTTCCAAGCAGGGCTGTTCTATCATTCGATATTAACTATGTTAATGCTACGTTGCAAGAAGCGATTATTCTCCCTGGCCACATCCAGATACTGTGCTTAGTTTTGGGAACCCAATGCAAGAGAGACATAGAAAAGTATATCCAGGGATAGAGCACATTACCTATGAGGAATGTCTGAGGCAGCTGGGTTTCTTCAGCCTGAAGAGATGACTGTAGGAGAATCTCATAACCAACTTTCAACACTTATGAGTAGGCTATTACAATGGCAGAACTAAGCTTATTACTGAGGTGCATGGAAAAAGAACAAGAGATAATGGACTTAACTGGAATGGGGGAGGTTCTGACTGGATATAAGGAAAAAAAAAAATTGAGAAGAAAATAAAGCACTAGAATACGTTACCCAGAGAAGCTGTGGAATCCACCCTTGGAGATTTCAAAACCTGACAGGACAAAGAAGTCCTGAGCAACCTGAATTCTGAATTCAGTGTTGACCTTGTTCTGAGCAGAAGGTTGGAATAGAGGCTTCCTGATGACCCTTTTAACCCACATGATTCTATAATTCCGTGAAACCTCTGTTGAAAATTTTTTCCCAAAAGTTCCTCACTTGTCCAAGTTAGAATGGGTTTGGATTTATATCAATGCTATGCATCCTTTTAAAATTTCAAGCCTTTGCTCTCAGGCACAGAAGACTTGGAGCACTTCAAAGGAAAGAGTGCCAGAATATTTTCAATGTGTACAAAACAAGATTATCTCCCTGGACTCATTGTTGGATACTACTGAGTAATTTTGTCTGAAATGTTTGAAGAGAGGAAAATGAGGTCTGAGGCAAAGTACATGTAAAAAAACAGTCTGATTCTCAGACTCTTGCTGGTCTACCACTGGTGCTACCAAAGTTCCTGTTAATCCATCATGATTACGGTGAAAGTTCAGGCCCTCATAGCACCAGCTAGACAACAGCTAGACATGTTGAAAACCAGGCGAGCTGCCAAACACTAGTTCATTTTTAGTGGGAATGCCATGGTTTGGCAAATCAAGAGGTAAACCAGAATATACTCTATTTTGTCATCTGTTCTTAATGCACTATGTTGTTTTTTAAGTGGTTTTGTATGGAATTAATAATTTAATGTATTGGCCAGTTGTAAAAATTATGCCTGGTAACCGCTGTAATCTTGTAAGTGTATTTCTCCCCTTCCTCCATGCCCCCTACCAAAAAAAAACTTTACTGCTGACCTACAGTAAGGTTTTACTCTGACATTCTCTTAATATTTCCAAATATGCATTGCTTAGCTAAGAGATGAGTGGCAACACTTAGAAAAGTCAGAAAAGACAATGCTACATCTAGAAGTAGAGGACAGCCACCACGAACCAAAAGGGAAACAGTGTGTTATGTCACATTGAATAAAACAGAAAGTGGAAGGAGGTTTCTTGGAGAAAAATGCATAATACAAAAATAAAGCTGTACAAAAAATTGAGCTGTAACATGATGGGAAGTATCTCAAAAATGAATACATAAAGAAAAGAAAAGCTAGACTATAATAGCCTAAAGAGGTAGTCTCCTAAATGAACTCTATCAATATTGGAGAAAAATGGAAAACATAGAAAGATACTTGTCTGAGTGTATCATGGTGGTTATCAAAGACATATAGAGTGTGGATTAAACTTGTAAGTGATAGCGTAAATGAACTTTATATGTGGAATATCCTTTGGGAATTAAGAAAGTGTCTGCACTCTAAAACTGACAGCTGATGTCAACATTTTGATTCCATATTTTCTGAAGAACCAAAGAAAAGGCAACCAGTTTGTAAGGTGCCTGAAATGGGCAGAATTACAGCAAAAGAACCCAGACAGATCTGCAGATCTAAGTCCACAAATTTTCAGGTCTGGAACAGGAAATGGACTTTCTTATATTAGAAGAGGCATGTGAGAAACACTTGCAGAGTGCTGAAAAGAGGAGTGAAAATTGGCAAAACTGCCTTCAGAAAATCTGCCGGGTTTCTGCTGACTTGAGGTTGCCACGTTGCCTCTGCCATAAGTATTCACCTGCAAAGCATGAAGACCCCATCAGAAAACTCTCTATGTCCCTTGTCATTTCAGTCCAATTATATTAGAAAGTGAGGTATGTGATGGCCTCTTGTTGAATTTCTGCTTGAAATATAACTCAGCAGGGTTCTGGTTATCCACATCAGTATCTTACTCGCACATTTCTGACTTACCTCACTGCAGATTGAAGGGTCATTTCAGGGCAGTTGCTTCCACAGTCCTTGCTCGCTGGATGTTTCCAGGTGGACACAGACATTGATTAGTTCTTGTAGTCTAGGAGTTTTGGGGCAGGGGTAAGTGAAGGCATGCTTTGCCCCGAGTTAATACTGTTCATGTAATCATCCGTCCCAGTGCAGTTGCTAGCCAGACCACTGTTTCCTGAGGCCCAGATAAAAATACTTCCTCCACCACAATGACCCTAGGGGAATAAAAAAAATAACAAAACAAAACTGAACTTTCCATACAGAACTTTTATTTTAAACAGCCAGTGTTATATTTCTGCCAAACTTAGAAGGTGTTTTTGATTATGTAGCTTTCAACTACCATGGAATTAATATAGAAAAACTTGTGTTCTTCAGGGAGCCCTGTCATACATCTGCAAAATAAGGTTCTTTTTATGTACCTACACATTAACATTGACATCCACTCCCTCATTTAATTAACAACATTTGAATGCCGTTTCCTTTCATGTAGTAATTATATTTTTTATTCCTAAACTGATCTCTTGTTTTCGATAGAGATATATTGGAAAATGCCAAGATTTGTTCAGAAAAAAACAGTAACAATAAGGGGTTCTTTTTTTTCCTCGTGGTTTTTGAAACCTAAATCTGAACTTTTCTATTGAGTTTTGAAAAATAACTGAGGTGGGAAATGAACCTCTAGATTTTGACTTGAGGGGAGAACTTTCTAACTTTTTTGGTTCTTTCTTTCAGCGAGTTCAAAGCTAACCTGCTGGGTCTGGGAACTTTCATGTCTTTAGGACCCTGGTAGCAACTATAAATAGTTGTGGTTGCTAATGTAGATATGCACACTGGAGAATCTAGAGCATGTATTACATGTCCGCCAAGGAGTTGAATTCCAAAGAAGGAGAAGTTAAAACTGCATTAGTAATGCTTAACTTTAACAGCCAAGTAAAAGATATATGGTGGAGGAATGCAATCCAGCTTTCACTAGCTACTTGAATTTCTTTAATAAAGTTGGCAAACTCATGAATATTAAAATGAGTCCTGTGTCATGTGCCCTTACATAAAGTACTGCTCTTGTATCGGATAAATGGTGTCCATGCAGTTATTAAAAAGGAGAAAAGAGGAGAAAGTGAGGATAGATCACAGAGGAAAGGTTAACCTGTTGGGAGGGATCTTAGTGCTCTTTGTTCAGTACTTCATCTAAATAACCAGGAGATAACATGTAAATATTTTTTTTTTTAAGTCAGAGTTTAAGTATATGAAAGGCAATCCGTCCGTATATGAAACATATATGTGCGTACAGTCAGAAAACGTAGTGCTTTTTTGATTTTTTTTTACTTTACTGAAAGACTTCATCAAGTTAAATATTTTAACAGTTGTAGGTGATAACTTTGTCTCTTTACAATAAGCATAATCCTTCCTAGTAATTTGTCTGGTGATTAATATATTAATATAATTGTCATAGTAAGATTGCAGATGAACTTTGCAGATGGAAGAAAAAAAAAACCTTTTGAATTTGGGATAAAGTACGTAGACAAAATCCAAAAATCCCTAATAAAAATACCTAATTTATTCCGATTTTTTTTCTTTAATTAGAAAATTGATTTGATTTATAGGCTTATTTTTGTGTGAGGTTTCATGTAAGTGGAAATTTCTAAAAAGCAATCATAAGATAACTTTAAAAAATACCGTGTCCATGAAATTTGGAAAAGTAGGAGGAAGAAGAGACTTGTAACAGATACTTTTAACCAGTTGCATGCATCTGAATTAAGAAATACAAGTTCTGAATGGCTGCATAACAATGTCAAAATGCGTGTTATGCTGGAAATTTATTTCCAACACAAATCCTGGCATGTTCGCTACCATATATTCCCTTTCTCCCTCTCTTACCGTTCCTCAAATCCATTTGCTTTGAAAAGAAGACATTTTGCACTCTTTCCTGAAGAACAGCATTTTTGATCAATTGGGTCAGAAGCAGCTTCTCTATTTTTGAAACAAAACCTGGAAAAAAAATTTAAAAGCATCTTACAGGTACTAGATTATCCCTTTAATGCCTCCATTAATATTAAATAAATCCTGCAAATACAGTGTCTCGATTTTGGAAAATATATTAATTGGGTGTATGTCAGGAATAAAATCCAGGAACTCACTTTTAATATTTCTTAAATCAAAAGCTTCTTGTTCTTAACAGCTAACCCATTTAGATATTCCTTCCCTCTCCCCCCTCCAAAGCCAGCTCCTTCAGCTGACTGCTGCACTCCAGTGCTGCCTGTATAGGTTACAAGCAGTGAAATGCATTACAGCCACCTACATTTATACTTATCCTAGTGTCAGTCTTCATTCCACAAAAAGGAAAAATGTAGAATTTTTCTTAACGCTCAGAGCCTCATTTACTACCAGGGACCTCTGGAAACTGCAGTTATGCTATGACTTTTCAATGGGGATCTGACCCAAAAGTACCTTTCAAAACAAAAGAAGATTCTGAACACACGGGGTCTTTTTCTGATTTCACATACTTCCATGTAAATGACACACATCTAACTGAAAATAATAATATAAATGCAAGCATTATAGATCTTTATTATAGATAATTCAGAGCTCCTTTGGTTAGTAATGAATGTTTCTGATGCTGCTGAGTAATAATAATCTATTTACTGATAAAATAGGAAGCACGTTAACACTGGGAGACAAATCTCGTAAGAGCCCAAACCTGCAAATAAGTTTGCTTAAATGTACTTCTATGAATAGACCCACTGAAATCAATAAAACTACTCATGTGCATAAATTTAAGCATATGCAAAAGTACTTGAAGAGAGGAGATTTAGCTCTTAATTATTTTAGGTCACTGAAGGAAATGGAGGCCACAGTTTCTCCCAGAACAGGTGACAAATCTGCTTAGAAAGGTAATGTGGAAGTGGCATAAGGAAACTGTGTATAAGTAGTCTCACCCAGGAATATGTGAGCACACTGATGCTGCCGTAGAGGATCCAGCTGGGGAATGACTGATCTAGGTAATTATATTGCCAAATCTTTAGAGGAGACATCCCATACAAATTTTAGAAAATACAGATCAGGGACTCAAGGTACCTGCTGGATGCATAATTCACTCTGAATAATTTGTCAGACAAACTTCACCTCATTTTTCTATTTGTGAATTGTACAAGAGAAGTTTATGATTTTCTTAGATTTATTATTCAGAATTATTCCCTGAATGAAGGTGTATCATTTATGAGCACTTCACTGCAAGTGCTTGATATTCAAAATTTGGCATTCGATATTGTTCTGTTGGTCGGAGCAGAACACATCGCATGTTGCGTTCCTCTGAGTGGAAGTAACTCAGAGTCAGGTTTTCTATTGTAAATCGTCATATTTCAGAATTCAAAAATCACTTTCTATCACATTTTGCAGTAATCACAAGACATCTCACAAACATTCTGGCTAAAGGCACATTTGTTCAAAATTAAAACATCATTATTTTCATGGAATTATTTTGCCCTATTATGTCTCTCTATTTATGTCCTATAATGTTTCTACTATTCAGCTACAACGAGAAGGTTTATCAAAAGATATATCATCATTAAAAAAAAAAAACCTAATAGGGATAATTTTGTCCAGCTGCATAATCCCCCAGCTGGGATACTGTGGAATGTCCAATGCCTTATTCATCAGTCCTAATACTTTAAGAATAAAACTTCCAAAAAATGGCACTGCTGAAGACTTATAGCTTTATCTATCTAAAATCAGTCAGAGGATATGTCAGAGAATGAAGAGATGCACTTATGTCTTGAGAACCTTTTACTTGTACACTCATAAAATGAAGAAGATTCCTATCTTGGTCCTCCTTCTGGAGAACTACTTTCCACATCACGGAACAAAACTTTTCAGGGTTCCCCTGATGCTGAAAAATCCTATAATAAATTGGAAATTGTAAAAACATGGTTAAACCCCCTTCCCCAGAAACGAACCATCTTGAAATAGTTCTTAACTCCTATTTTTCTTGAGGAGGGAAAAAAAAAGGTTAAGAAATTGGAAGCAAGATATACAGAGAAATTACACTGCTCTTAATACAAGCAATATTTAGTTATTTCCTAGCCGTGGCTTGCAGTCAGTCATCCTAACCATCTGCTCAGAACTGAACTTTTTCTTCTTCTTCTTCAGTGTAGTTGAACTATATCAACAGAAACAATTTTTTTCAGGGAGAGTAAATGTACCGCTACGAACGGTTTGATGAAAGACTGAATCTTTGTATTCCTGGAAAGTAAGTCTTCCTGTAACAAGCAGCTAACGTTTGAACATGTCAAAGCAAGCCTTTTAGAACAGGAGATAAGAGCACTTGAATGATTCTTACAAAGTGGTAACTGGCCCAAAAGAAAATGTTGTGTACGGTAATTTATTCTGGGAGTTACATTTTCCTCGGCCTCAAAAAGAACCTTACCATGACTCAGTACGTTGGGCTTCACTTCTATTCTCGCTTGGAAGATTTGGATCTGAAATATAGACCAACTGTACAAGCAAATATTTTATTCATACAGGCAATATTATTGGTATACGCAGTGGTAAAATAATGGCTAGATCCATATTAGGCATGGCTCGTAAAATAATGTCAATCTGAGGTGGGGTGTTTATTCATGGTTTTAATTTTAACTATGCTGTTAAATGTTATGCTGCAGAAGCTTTAATGTTTAAGCAACTATATTAATCTAAAAAAGTACTGTTATTGATAAAAATTCTTTTGCTTTTTGAATTGGTGAATAACTCACCATCAGAAAGCCTTTATTGCTGGTATAAGCTACAGCTGTGCTAGAAGGGATAGCTACACTAACCTAGTGTCACTGTCTCAGCATGTGGGCTGTTCAAAGTCATTGTTTACATGGACTTTCTACCATATGGAATTATCAACATTTTATTGCAAAAGTCTTAGTGCTGCCTCATACTTCCAGAGTGAGGATACAGCAAGAGAGACTTTTTTTTATCCTTTTCTCCTTTGAGCAAGGATACAGCAAGAGAGACTTTTTTTTATCCTTTTCTCCTTTCAAAAAGAAAAAGGAAAATAAATTTTTTTTCTCTCCCCCTAGTAATGCCCTCCCGTTAAAAATACAAATCGAGTTATAAGTATCAACATCTATAAGTAAAAGGACCCCTTCCCTTTTATATCTACTTATTAATGTATTACAAAATCTCATATTTTGGGTAGCCTACCTCCTCACTTTCAAATGACTGAGATTGACCATGCCAGCAGTGCCATTTCACCTCTGAGAGAAGGAACAACTCTTCCTCCGAGGGGTGCCCCATGATTGCCCCTGGGCTGGACCCTCCTCTGCGCCCAGCGAACGCCTGAGCTGAAAACACGCTTCTTTAGCACATGCAACATCCCGTGGGCCTGAACACACAGGGCATTCTTAGGGGGTATTAATATGTAAGTAGGTGGTTAGGACCCTGCCAGGCATGTTTGGGCAGGCTGCCCAAGGCCCTGGTGTGGATTGCGTGCCGGCACAATGCGCTCTTGTCTGCTCCTGGGAATGCATTTTGAGCAAGTGAGGTGGACATACCTCGGGAAACCTGAGTAAGGCAAACTGTTCCGGTTCATGTTAAGAGGGAAAAGGAAATGAATAAACATTATAAATCTTCGTTAGCCCAGCGAGAGCAAAGAGCGTGCTTTCATGCACAATAAAGAGTAACAGAAATAAAAGGTAAGTAAGAGTTAAAAGGAATTTTTGTGGTCTCCTCTGGAGCAAGAATCCCATGAAAACCTCTGGAAAGATTCAGATGTATGTAGATAAACCAAGGGGCAGGATAAAACAAGGGTCTTTGACAGCGTATGCACAGAGTTCATAAGAAAACAATGTATTGCAAGAAAGTATCAGTTTGCTGAACTGGAATGTTTTCCCCAAATTTGACAAATATTGCTATATTAAAGATCTGATTTGAACAGTATTTCCTTGGCCCATCCTGGGGCTCTGAAGTCTTCCACATTTACTGCTGAAGAAAGAGAAGCCTTGAAAACTTGAACTGCATCTCCCCAAATCTGGGTTTCAGTAGAGGAATATTGTAGCTGCTCCAACACAAAACGGTCTCTCAAGGCTTTTATGCTGGCAAACCTAGAATTAGCTTGAGTTTGCATAGCCCCAGGCTAGTCCTGCAAAGGCAGCATCACTGGGTTTGGATTCAGTAGTGGCTGCTTTCCCTCCTGCCTTCCTCCCAGGTGGGCTGGGGATGGATGCATATCCCAGTTCTGGAACATCACGTGTCTGGGTTTCTGAAATGAGGTTTTGAAATTCTAGCTTGTGGGAAATTGCTGAATATTTGATTTCATAATTAAGGTAGAAGGAAATGCCACATCAAAATACCATAAGTCCATGCAAATAAGAAAATTTCTGTTTTGGATAATTCTAGTCTAGCCTCCTTGCTGTTTTCGTAGATCGTTGATTAACTATGTACTAGGAAATATTCCTTTTCCAAGGAAATAACATGTATATAAGGATATAAAATTTTTTAATCCCTACATGCACAGTAGCAATAGTTGAAATGTTATGGAGATAAGCTCCTGATGAGGCTTTGGTATTGCTGATGAGAGTATTCAGTTGCTGGAAAAAGTCTATTTTACAGATGATATAGCAAAATTACTCCAATGGCTAAGGGTATATTAGTGGCATTAGGACAAAGATTCAGATAAGAGAAAGCCACATACAAATAAGTATGAAGATGGGAAGCATATGTGGCTGTATGGAAACTCAAAGCAGATGGAACAACTTAAGAGTAGAACGATCATAGTTATAGATCAGAAAACCAGTTAGATCAGAAAACTCCAGCAAATGGTGTAGTAGTGATCATGGACAATAGATAGAACAAGTGAAAAAGACAATGCTGTCACAGAAAAGACAAACGCTACACGAGGTTATGTTAATTGGAGCATCGTATATGTAATACAAGGGAAGGCAGTTTTTCTGCTCTGTTTGACTCTGCTGAGTATATGTAATACAAGGGAAGGCAGTTTTTCCGCT